AGAAATGTATGCATTATCCTGCCCATGTAATTGTAACCCCTCTGTACAGTATGTTCACAAATAAAATAAAATAAAATTAAAAAAAAAAGAGTTCTACAACTCGAGCTATACCTCAACCATTTTTTTTGTTTTATCAGATAATGTCCTATGTCTTTACCTGGAGGCAGCCACAAGCCTAATGACACTTTCCACACATGCCACTATGCCCACGTTGTTGGTTAAGAAGACTTGCTAAATTTTGACCAGATGGGGAACCATGATATCTCCACTCTAAAACCAAACTAGCTGGGATTTCAGGTATGTGCCATGATGCCCATGACAAATAGGTAGTACTAGAGTTTGAACTCAGGGCCTTGCACTTACTAGACAGGAATTCTGCCCTTGAACCACACTGATAGCCCTTTTGTGCACTGGCTGTTTTTGAGATAGTGTATTACTTCCTGCTGGTCCATGATATGCCTATTTTAGAGTTCCCATTCCCAGCTTCTTCTGCTGAGATAGGGATTTTTACATTTTTCTTGCCTGGAACTATGATCCTCCAGATCTCAGCCTCCTGTATATCTAGGATACATAGTCAGACACACCACTGTGACCAGCTATGTGTTTAAAAGAGGTTTCACAAAGTTCTCTATTGAGGCTAGCCTCAAGTTTCAGTCATCCCAATTTTAGCCTCCTAAGTTTACTGGTTTAGGCCACCAGGACCTAGCTGATACTATTAGTTCAAATACATTTTAATTGTATGTTTATAACTGCATTACTTTAAAGTTATTGATATTACTGTCTGCTGTGTTTTCCTCCCCAAATTATGCTGGGGATCTAGCCTAACACTTTGAAAATATGGTATGGATGCTGTGATGCTAAGAAACAGCCAATCCCAGTGGAGAGAAATTGCAGCTTACTCCATGCACCACCTAGTTACACTCAAACTTAGATGGAGACTACAACATAAAGAACAGCGTAGAAAAAAGTCCCCACCTGATGTCTCAGCCCCAGTGTGGCGTAGATAGGCAGCCTGCAGACCCATTTCTGAATATTTACCCACTAACAACAGAAGAAAGACATAATACAACTAGTATAGTAAGCACAAAGACACCACTCCAAATTTGCACATTACAGTGTTGACAAGTCTGAAGGAATAATTCCAGAGAATGTATCTCATATACTTGAATATCTACAACCTATTTGCCTGAACTATTAGAGGGAACCAACTTATGAAATCTTATCAAGAAAGCAGGTCTCTCAACATAATATGCACAGAATCAAAGCCCATTAAATATAGTTCAAGAAGCCAAAGGGAAGCCACAGTACACAGTCAAGTTATAATTAAATTTAACATTATATGGAAAACCAATTTATACAAATATATATACAAATATAGCTTACACCATAAGGAAAGCTATATTTAAAGAAGAGATACCCATTTCAAGAGATCACAAATCTCAATAAATATGAAATAACAAGGGAATATAACCTACAAAGTGCATAATTCTCTAGTAAGAGACACAAAAGACATTGATTCTCATGGGATGCCAGATAAAGAATTTAGAAAGTATATTTTTAAAAAGACTATGCTTGGTATAGTGGCTCATGCCTGTAATTCCAGATATATGGGAAACTGTAAGTAGAAAGACTGAAGTCCAAAAGTGGTCCTGGGTAACAAACTAAAGACACAATCTGAAAAATAATGAAAGCTAAAAGAGGCTGGAAGGTGTGGCTTAAGGAGTATGGTACATGCCTAGCAAGTACAAGCCTAAGTCAAACCTCAACATCTGAAGTGAAGTTTAAAAAATCAATGACCTCACAGAAATACAAAAAGAACAAAAAACTGAATTAACTAAGGTAAGGAAGATCTAAGATATTCATGAGAAATTCAAGAAAGATGTAAAGAAAAAAGAACCAAACAGAAATCACAGTAGGAAATTATGACAAGAACACGAAAGATTATTGGGACAGAATGAGATTTAGCATACCTGAATAGGGATAAAACTTATACTATTAAACAGAGGCTAATGCTAGTTTGGTATCAAAACTAGAAAGACACACCAGAATAGAAAACTATAGATCAATGCCTCTTATGAAAATGAATGCAAAAATCTTCAGTAGTAAAAGAACCTAACAAGTGAAAATACATACATCCTAAGTAAGATTTATTATAAGAATGCAAAGTTGATTAAACATACAAATCTAATGTATTTACTACCCCATATCAATAGGGTGAAAAATAAAAACACATAATCATTCCAGTAGACGCAAAGTAAAATATTTTGCACAATTCCATACTCTTTCAGGATAAAATCATTCTAGAAAGTAAGAATAGAAGAGATATTTCTCAATTGACTAGGGAATGTCTCTTTAAAAGAAAAAAAACAGGAGCTCAGTGGTAGAGTGCTTGCCTTGCATGCTTGAGGCCCTGGATTCAATTCCTCAGCACCACATAAACAGAAAAAGCTGGAAGTGGTGCTGTGGCTCAAGAGGTAGAATGCTTGAGCTAAAGAGCTGAGGGATAACACCCAGGCTCAGAGTTTAAGCTCCATGACAAGAAAGAAAGAAAGGAAGGAAGGAAGAAAGAAAAAAAACAGCATACTGAATGACAGAAAACATCTATTTTTAAGAGAGTATTTCATACATTTGAAGAATGCATATACACAATGACTAGTAGGTGAAATTTATGGTACCTATCACAAGGGTATCTACCACATAGATATATACAATATGTCATGTGACTATGTAGCAGTGCAGCACAATTTCTTGGAAGTAAAGTGAGTATCAACAGTGGCATGTCAAATCAAACATGGAACATTCACAACATAGATAACCAGAACAAAGAAATTGCTTTGGAGTGGTTTCAGTGAATATATCTGATTAGAAATAAAAATTGCAGAAATATAAACTGCTCTATAAAAAATGACAAATCCTATTGACTATATCCATATAGATACATGTATGATTATGGATATATATGATGGATATGCATATGGGTATACCTACAAGTGTGTAATATGTGCATAATATAAAGTTAAGAATATATAAGAAGAGAGAGCAGACAATTAACAACAGAGACAGAACCAGAGAGTCATTGATAGAGAGAAATAAGATAATATAGTTAATCAATTATTAATAAGCTAGTCATTTATTAAGGGAAAAAAGATTAAAAGTACTAAGAAGGCGGGGAACTTGGTGGTTTAGACACACAGGGTTCTTTTCTTTTTTTAAAAATTTTATTTTATTTTATTTGTGAACATACTGTACAGAGGAGTTACAATTACATGGGCAGGATAATGCGTACATTTCTTACCAAGCATTGCAGCCTCCTCCTTTGTTTACCCTTCACATCCCTTCCCAGCCTCC